TGAAAAGCAAAAGTAGGGATGAACAATATTATCCCATTTGTAAGGTACTCAGTATATATATATAGTACATGATATTGAAAAATATAACTGTGTTTAAAGTAACAGTACAAATGTTATAAATTGCTTTGAAGCATATCAATTATTTAATAAAAATGATAGATACTATAGTAAATGTAAATAACTCTTAATAAGTCACAAGCGGCTTTACATAATTTGTACCTTTAGTCTAGCGATTGTAATTCATCTGAAAGTTTAATATTTTCACCAAACCATTATAATTGATATCAATTACAACCATTAATTTTAAGCTCTATAACTGAATTTTTCTTTAGTACAAAGTAGGTGATATTTATAACTAATAATTGTTATATTTTCACCTATTTAATTTCCACATTTGAAATTCATACGAACGATAAAAGTTTTTTCTAATGTTATAGTTTCTGTTTATGCCTTTCATTTTGATGATATTTAATATGAAATAGCTAAAAACTTAAGTGTACATCTTCGAATTATTTCAGTTTAATACTAGTAGTATAGTTCAATATAAGGTATATTAACGCACTACTAAAAATTGCCTTCAGTAATGTTTTACATTAAACAGTACTTGACATTAGTACCTTATCCATTTTTTAAAAATTTATCTCTTTCAACTTATTCAGTGTTATTAATGATTAAGTTGTTATGTTATTTTTTTTCAATAACAAAAAAGAGTATTCAGCAAAGAAAACTTTTCGACAGAATCATTTACTTCAACTGTACACTCGTATATATAGTTATATATGGAAAATATATGTCTATAGGAGAATAGATAAGTCTACATCATAAAATGGATTCAAGAATAAATTAACAAAGAAAATTTTCTTCACTGAATTCTCTTTTACTTATTCAATCACATTATGGGTTATTATTTAATAACAGTTTATGTTTTTTTTCCCTAAATTATTTTCTTTGTCCAGTTGATTGTTTCAATAAAATATCACTTATTTTCTTTTTCTTTCTTTTTTTTCATTTGACAGATGGATTTCACTTCAAAAAGAACTTTCAGATTTAAAATTAAATATTCAAGTAACAGTGAATAAGGATACATAGCAAAATTATATTAGTTTTATATATCTAGATTGTTTGAGCAAGTTTTTAAAGTTCTCTTATTATTGAGTAGTAGTTCAGTTTAGTCTTTCAGTTGAATTGTCTTTTTTTTGACGAATTATTAATATTTGACAATTTATACTACTATCATTAATAATATTAACTTCGTTTGAAGTTTCAAGAAGAAGAAAAAAACAAAAAGCTTATCATGTTTCTTTACAGATTGGATGTATTAACCGTTTTCTTTAGTTGAATTTAACTTTTGAATTAATATTTAATGTTTATTTATTATTTTTTTGAAATAACTAATGGTTGAAACTTAGATTGAATTGATTCTTCTGTCTAATAGTTATGTGATTATTTTGGTTTTGACTGAATAAATTGTTAGAGAGGTTTGTTTTATTGATGCTGACTTGTTACACTACAATAACTTTCTGTAATGGAAAGTTGACCAAAGTAATAAGTTGCTAATAGCAAATAATTAGGATTGCCTATTAATAAAAAATGTCAAGATTTCTCAGAAGAGTTGTAAATATGTTTCTATCAGCGCTAGTTCTGTTTGACATTTTCATTCGATCATTAGCATTCAAGCTGGGAGACACACCCACCTTCCAAAGGATAATTGGACTTTGATTTCATAAACCCATTCCATTATCTCTTTCTGATATATCGCTAGTAGGTTAAATCAATGGTTTTTTGAAACACTGAGTCACTGGTTCAAACGTAAATTTTTCTACTATGGTTCGGATAGCCAGGTACTATCACTAATCCTCACACAAATTTTTGACTTGATACATGGAACTATACTTGACACATATGTTACAATTAATTTAAAACTCTTTTCGTTGGTTTAGTTTATGTACTTATCCTCACAAGAATGCCCAATAACGAGAGCTACTTCAAGTGGTATTAAAGAAATTTATTGACATATTCAGAGATACTGAAACAGAAATAGGTTATTACCTTGAAGGACTCAGTGGTCTGAGATCTCCTTGTTTGTGATGTTTCAGTGAATTTTATGTTTTCGATATTTAGACGAATTACAAAAAGTGGTTGGTTTTTGAGAATCTCATAAATTTAAATATATTTTGCCACGGTAACTAAATTAGTGACTCTAAAAGAGGTAATAGTTACATTAACGGACCTCACGGACGGCGTTTGGGAAAGTTCTATTGTATCGTTACTTAAAGACATTTATAAAGATCAAAAAGTACACGAATATAATGCAAATGTCACAGAGAAAAGTGAGTCGATAAAAACAAGGATATAAACAATTGGTACAATTTATAACAAAGAACGGACTTACTAAATTGCACCAAAATATCAACTGTTTGTAAAATATCGTTGTTTAGTATGAATATTATAGTTATATTCAATAATGTTTGTGAGGTAATGTACGTATAATTAAAATAATGAGATAATAAATCCGCAGTTATATTTATAATCCAATTGATAGTTACAATTGTAATCGAGTACGTTGGATTTTAGGAATTGGATTATGTCGTCGAAGATTGTTTCGTGCTCGCGCGTTGGGATCGTCAATTATGTGGTGGTCGGTATCCGATATAATCCTTAACTTCGTACACAGTTCGTCTTGATAACCGTTCTATATAACGCCCCAACGGTATATTGATCAGAAGGCAAATACAAAGTGTTGATTACGTTTATTGCGAGACCACACACATATATCCAAATGTACAGATGCGTTAAACAAGCATAGAAGAGTTGTGCCGAAAGGCAAGCAAGCGAGCGAGAGCAAGAGCGAAACCAGAGTGTGTGAGTGAGCGTTGAATATGAATAACATGGACATATATATACCATGTGAAATGAATGAGTAATCGAATCAAATAAGCAGTTAGTAGTAAGACTAGCAGAGTGAATAAATGCGTAGGCCGTAAGCAATATTCAAGCATACGTATTGCATACAAGCACAAAATAATAAGGGTACAATAAATTGTTATAGTGCGGATGACTTTGTCCGCTAAATGAGTTAGCAAAAGGGCTTAACTGAGTTAAATGAGAATAAACTCAATTGCACGTGAGTCACTATACTTGTCTCGTGATGCGATTTGATGATTTCCACTTCATCTGAATGCTCTTTGGTGTTCTGTCACAGTAGGTTGTTGCTGATCATATCCTTCGAACAGATCTGGAGTATCTTGAGAAACCAACTGTTTATAAATACCTGTATCACTTTCCTGATGGTTGTATGAGTTCTCTGAGTTTGAGCTAACTACAATAGAACTGTCTTGACGTTTGTATTGAAAACTGTGATTTTGATGTTGACCGATGGTTGTGTTGAGTTTCAGGTGTTCTTCAATTGTGGGAATGAGGTGTTCGCTTTATTAATCCATCCCTTCACAATTGAGCTTTACCGAATCTAACATCCGGTTCAACAACACTGTTGAAAATTTGCTGGTACTGACAGAGTGGTGAACGAGAGCATGGAGGTTTAGAACTAATTTATTGTTTAATGCAAAATTACGGAATGTCTTCGTAAAATGTGAAAACCGTAGAATAGATGGATCACTTGAACATCTCTTATCAGTTATTCTCTACAAACTTCATGATTCTCCCAATTCTGTTGTTACTCCAATAGCTCTCTGTTCGCTTCAACTCAATCTTCTACTGGAGGGAATTCATTCGACTACTACGGCATAATAATATCTGTCAACATACACCACGATAGTAATATGTTGTAACTCAGGTTGTACTGTAACATTCTGAAATGTCCACATATATCTTTAACGTTTATTTTACTTATCATTGTATTTATCATTTTAATCACTGTAATTTAATTACTGTAACGGTTATCCACAGTTTTATGCATTTGTTTAAACGCAACAGTTTCTGTATTGTTTGCTCTTGGTTCGAGTTTCGGTTGTTCATAAAGTGTTATCAAATTTAGACACAGCTATCGGCTGTCTTTGTACTATCGTATGTTATAATCATTCTTTATGTTACTCTTACAGGAAGCCTTTGCTATTTTCATTCTTGAACGACGCGTTTAAACGCCTAGACACCTCACAAGTTGAGGTTTGTAACTAAATTTTGTGTATTATTTAATAAAGAACCGCTTTTGTAGACAAATCGTTGTTTTGGAACTTCGATTTTGCGCGTATCTCAATCGGGGTTACTTGGACGCTTCGATAGAATTAACAGATGGTCATACTAATTTTTCCGATTGTTGGTGTGGTGAAGATCTGTGTTCGCTGCTTCTATGTCAGTCGAGTTCATTGTGGCTTGTCTATTCCACAGCTGTGAATATTATCAAATAAACTTATCTAGTAAAGTTTAATTTGAATTCCCTTATATCAACACACTGAAAAGTTAGTGCACCAAACACTTATGGATGCTTTTATTTTCTCAACGATGAAAGTACGCTTTCCAGAAAGTTTGATCACATTCTCAATCGGATTGTTTGCTGTTGAAGAATTCAAGGAACAATTTATTCGATCCTATCTTAATCATTATACATGTATACCTTCGACTGTTCTACTTTCAGAACGTGCATGTATTACACCTGAATGGTCTTTACAAATGAATAGTCATATTGTACATATATAAATACATTTTTTTAGTGGTGAGGAATTAGATCTGCATGTAAGTAAACAATGAAGTCTACACCATATTTTACATTATCTATTAAATATGTTAACAAGTTTTTTTACTTGGTTAGACGATCGAAGCAATATGGTGTTTAGTCGTGATAGAGTATTGATTCAGAACAATGCATTTTGGCCATTTCTTTCAGATCACAGTAATTTAGTTTCTCATAAATCATTAGTGGATATTCTTGTTGAGGACGTAGATTTTTATTGCAAAGACTACATTAGTACGATATACGCAATTTATGAATGAAAGATGGCAACCATATTGAATATGAAATAATGCTCATTTATCATGTGTTTAGAATGGAAGTTAAAATTATTTCAGCTACAATGTGGGATTTTCAGCGACATCATCAACTCCCATCTGAGCGTACTCATCGGTTATACAATACTAAAGCTTGTAAATCAACATAAGCTGAATGAACTCGACCGACTAATTAGTCCAACTGTTCCAGAAACTCAGCCAACACGTTATTTAGCAGTGATGAATCATGTTTCTTGTTTTTTTCCATTTACTCATTATACAAAATGGTATCAGTGTAAGACCAAAAGTAGTTTATAATCTTTTACCGAATCCACGTTTATTAAAACGTCTTCAATATAGCATTTAGCTAATTTTTTTCAAGTTGTCATTGACGTGCCTAATCGTTTTTGGATACATAATGGTCGGTAGTAGACAATCAATTTTAAATCATACTCAAAGTCGATTTTGTTCTTCATTTATTGATTTGTGTTTATCCACACTACAATTATATACCACTTTGTCATCACCTGCATATTTTTTTTTGGATGTTTCAGTTGATCAAACAAGGCTGTCAAGAGAGACTTGTTTCCATAATAAATTATTAAGTTTGATTTCAGAACAGGAAGTGAAAAATCTTGACTATAAACCCATGGCTTCAGAAACTTAGCTAATCGACTTGTGTTTGATATTGGATATGCATAATGATCTAGGACTTATTACTGAAAGAGCTTGTTTCTGTGTATTCTTCAGATGCTAAAAAACGTGGCGGTTTATCTATTTCGATTCCTGAACTCTGTGGTATAATTAATTCATTGAATAATTTGGTGACAGTATTGAAGATCGTGGCTGCATATTCTGCTCTACCATATGATGAATCTCTCGGTAGTCTTGTCAGTGATTATTGTTATCTTCTTCCTAGTTTACGGCATAGTGATCGTGATGCAGTTCTTTACCTAATTCGTGTAACTAGTTGGAGAGAATCGAGTTCGGCCGTGGAATAATGTCGTGAACGTTGTCGCCAACATCATGGTGTCACAAATGTGTGGCCACCCTTCTGTAAACCGAAACAACTGCCACTAGAATTTTGTGGTCAACATCATGTACTACGTAGTCGTCATTTACATTATATTTTTATACAACTCAGTTTATCTATCTTGATCAACTATTAACAGATGGATAGCTTAGCTATGATTATTTATTTGACCAATCGAATTATATAATCGATGTCGTTTACCGGGGAATAATAGAAAAACTTGTATTAAGATATGAAAAATCAACGATCCAAGAGTAGCAAGTCAAATTTACCTACATTGTCATCGAATAATTTTAATAGTCGTAAGACTTGTACTATACTTTTAATTGAACAAGAACAAATAGAAGAAATAAAGAAAATACAACAACCATTACATCAAAAAGAAGATTCAGTCACAGAAAAATCTCAAAATGCTTTCATGTATGAAATATACGTATTCAAACTCCATTCTCGTATTTGACTTATTTATTTCAGTTACTCACTAATGCGATCCAAGTCAATGAAATAAACGAAGATAGTCGACCTGTGTATTTCGATGACAATCAGCTTACAATCCAGCTGGAGTCAAATACAAGGCCACTAAAAGTGATGAGCTCTACTACGAATTCAACTCAGTAAACTAGGACTATGAACTCCATACTCTTGACAAACAAACTCAACGGAAGTTACTTTGTCAATAACCTCATTGATGATAGCACTATACCTTTCAAAAAATCTCAGTGATTTGTTTGTCCTTTTCGTTTTTGACTGGGCGGTCCTATTTAACCAATTTTCCAGCTAGGTTCTTCGTTGAATCATATGGTTGTCACATGTCTCATGTATTGAGTTTCGCAATGTTTTCCCTCAAGTTTCCAATGCTTTCTTAGATTAATTTTATCTCGGTCATCACTAGGTATGTTCTTAAGCTTTACCAGCTCCTTATTCTGTTATCACATCTTTGATGGACCTTTTGAGCGCTTTTCACCTATAACCATTTTATAATATTTGAATTATTTGAATTGTAGTATGAACTAGGAATCCCAGAATTAACGCAGTTGAACGAAGAACTACGACACAAGCACGAACGAATATATTGTATTTGGGATTCGAAATCGAGCATTACACAAGTACAATAGAATCATTAGTTAATTCAAACACCACACCCGCCACAACTTAAATAAGAGTATACGTGTTTGTAATCGGTTGTACGTCTTCTTGTTATGTTCATCCTGGGTCTGTCCGGCATTGTATGGATAAAAACTGTGTAGTATCTAGAATGTGCTCATTAGTATTGGAATTAACAAGCGAAATCGGAACAGACTCACCTGGAATTGTATACAATCATTATGTCGTTTTTGTAATGAAATCATTAATATCTAGAATTCGAACCATAGATTTTTAAATACTATCCTTCCCCACGAAATAAATGTTGGGTCTTTATATCCTCAAGTTATGAATAATGTGGCTTCATTTAAAACATATTTCTCACATTGTTTAGAGTAAACATTAGAAGTGTTTTTGTGATAAGGGTAAACAGCAGTTGATATGAAATCATCCGAATTGTAATCAAGATCGAACTCATTTAGTACTCGTGCACCGCAATGAACAAGTTTCCTACCAGAAACAAACTCAATATTAGGATAGGTAATATATGACATGACATCAGGATTTGATTCTTCTAAAATATTTTCATGAAATTTATTAAGAATTTCATTGCAGAGTAATGGATCATTAGAAAAATCTGCACCCATTAAAACTACATCAGGTTTTGGATCATAATTATGTTCACTCAACATATTTTCTTCAGATTTGTAAGAAATTTCATCAGAAATATGTGAATCATTAGGAAAAGTCATATTTGGTACAATAACATGAGAAATCTGATAAATCGATTGGTTAGAAACTGTTGTCTCGCAAGAATTCTGAGGTTCATTTAACTCTGAACTGCTATGTGACTCCACACTGTCTATTGCAATCGTTGATAAAGGTAAACCATCATTATAAATACCCAAATGCCCAGCTACGACCGAGAGTGGGGAGAGTCAGCTCTTCCCCTCGAAATGCTCTCACATGGCCACGTGCATACAACCACTGCCAGGGAAGTCCTACTTACTGCCTTTTCGTGGTGGGGGTGTTGTTTACGAAAATGAGAGGACGAAAAGCGAATGTCCGGGGCTTTAATCGGGATGGTGGACATGGAGAGTCCACCTAGAGGAGTTGGAAAACCCTGATTCCAAACCAATGGTGCACATGGGCTCCAGTATCCTGCGGAAACGAATGGCGTATGAACCAATCGTTGGTCACCGGCTACCATGGGACTGCATCACCTCATGATGATCCACTGCCTTGTGGATCAGACCTTTAGGTCAGAGACTCGGGGTGTGGCCCCCTAAGAAAACCACCTGCTTCGGTTTGGGCACCCGGACAGTATCTCAGCCCTCACACAATTAATGAACTGAACTGTCTATGATCATGGAAACTAATTCCCTTGCTTCGACGAACATTCAAATCATTCGATTAATATTATTGCTATTATTATTATTATTATTAGTAGTAGTATTAGTATTATTATTTACTACGTCATTAACCACCCGCTTTATTCCTGCTCTGTCTACACTTATTTTTCGACTTATACAGCAGCTCGTCTATGGTGCAAATTCGACTGTATCTAAACGTTCCCGAGTCACTCTCCGGTTGAAAATTGTATGTTACCACCGAATATGAGTACTGAAGCAGTGTTTCTGAAACCATGTGCACCATTCAAACTGGCTGCCTTCAACGTTCGCACACTTATGCAGATCGGACAACGGATAGGGCTGGCTATGTTTTTGGAAAGTCTTAATATTGACGTTTGTTGTCTATCCGAGACCCGTATTCAAGACTCTGGTGAAGTACTCAAATTCGCTCCCCATCTGTCGCTTCAAAAAGCTTGTTTTACGTGCACTTATCCGGTGACCCTGTGGCATCTTCGTCTGGTCTTGCTGGCGTTGGTGTCGCACTAAGAGCTAGAGCTGAGGCAGCACCAATCGATTTGATCCCCATTAGCAGTCGGTTTTGTGCTGTTAAATTAGAAAGTTCCATCAAAGTGAGAAGAAATCGGCGTGAGAAACGATGTCTTTTCGTCATCTCCACCTATGCCCCGACAGATTGCAGCCCGGATGCAATCAAGGATGAGTTTTACCACCAGTTATCTGTTTTTCTCCAGAAAGTGTGTTCGACAGATATTCTTGTACTAGCCGGAGACTTGAATGCTCAGGTGGGGCGTCTAGGCACAGAAGAGAATCGTTTAGGTGGCCTATGGGAACTTGCTGGTCGCAGGACAGATAACGGGGACCGTCTACTGCAAGTGTGCACAGACCACAACTTGTTTCTGGCTAGCACTAACCTTCGGCACAGTTTAGTGGCCCGTGAATCTGACTCCAAGATCGTATGAATGATTGTTATCGCCTATTCTCGTATATAGTCGTCGACATAAATCGCGTTAGTCAGTAACGAAATTATATAAGTCGAATAACAAGAATTGACTTGAGAATACATATATTTTGTATATGAAGCGAATGAAACTGTGCAGAGCAAAATGACACGCACGGAAGATGGCTGGGAAGCCAACTCCATTTTAGTCGAGAATTACTCAATATTTATAATCAGACAAAGTAAAGCTACAGACATGTGATTAATGGGATAAGAAGGGCACACACATATACGCTCATATAAAAACAGTCTAGATTGACGAGCGAATAAATAACAAGGTCAAAGTATGCCTCAAGTAGAATGAACAGAATGGAATGTCCGTTAGCTAGAATAAGGTATATGGGCTTAATTTAATAACTGACACTGCAACAGTCATCGCCGATGTGCCACCTGGCGTCCACCCTCTGCATCTCAGGCATGAACTCAGGTTGATCACATCGCGATCAGCTACCGCTGGCGTGATTGTGTACAAGACTACCGCTCATTTTCGAGTACCTATCTCGACTCTGATCATGCTTTGGTCTGTGCCAATCTTACCTTACTTTTCAATGGACAACGAAGTGACCACCACCAACGGATTGATGTTAGCAAGTTGGTTGCAACTTCTGTTGCAAGTAAGTATCGAACTGACCTATTTTCTAGGCTAGCTGCCATTCCATCGAAAAGTATAGATGAGCATTGGTCGCAATTGCATGACGCCATGAAAATGGCAAGTAAATTCAGTTGCGAGTAAAGCCGCTTGCGGCTTCGCGAAAGGATTCGCTTATATGCACCGGGTTACTTCTGGTTCCTTACAACTCATTGAAGCCCATCGGTCTACTCCTGTTGACCGTGAGTTCGACCACAAACGAAGGATGTTACGTAATGAAATCGGGTAAAGCTTGCGTAAGGAGCGAGAAGCCTGGTGGTCGGAGCGTGCTAATGAGCTGGAAGCAGCAGCTGCATCTGGTGATTGCCGGAAGCTCTTTCAACTCATCCGAGCCACTGGCAGCAAGCAGACTAGTGTGAGCGAAACAATCTGTGAGAATGATGGGATGCCAATCACCAACATCCATCGACGTCTTGGACGATGGGCAAAATTTTTCGAAGGGCAGTTTCACTGGCCTGTTGCTCCGGCAACACCGGTCAGACTGTCCTGCCCTCCATGGCCGGTGACGACTGGTCCACCAAATGAGGCGGAAGTCCACAAGGAACTCCAACTCTTGAAGCGTTACAAATCACCTGGCCCAGATGACTTACCTCCGGCTCTTTTTAAAGATGGTGCTGATTTTCTGGCTAGGGAACTGACGACGTTGTTTACAAAGGTCTGGGGGATAGAGAGTGTACCAACGTCACGAAATGAGTCGATAGTTGTCCCTATCTTTAGAAAGGGTTCACGTCGTTCCTGTAACAACTTTCAGGGGATAAGTCTACTTCCGATTGAGTCCAAGCTATTGGCTTCCGTCATACTTCGTAGGTTGTTCAAAACCCGAGAAAGATTGACTCGCGAGGAGCAGGCTGGTTTTCGTTCTGGTCGAG